TAGGCACAACTTCAAGACGCCAAGAGATTCTCACTGGTATGCACATACCTTCTCCACTCAAACACCAGTCCAGGCATTGCTTAGGAGTTTTGATTTTGTGGGTATAATTATGGTCCCAAATCAGCTGATCTGAAAAAGCGGCAGTTGGTCTGACATACCTAGGGGTGAGCCTTTTAAAGGAACTAGCCTCTTCCCAGCAAAGAGATTTTTGCAGGGAGGATTCATCCCTGAGGAAGGGTTTGCAAGGCAGGCTTTGAAGGTGGAGGGGCCACGTGGTAGTATGCAGGTCTGGGGACCTGAAGGCAGTCCTCCCGGCCACAGGGAAGTCAGGACCTCAGTCCTCCAGCCAAGGAACAAGCTGAGTGAACCCGGCGAGGATCCCAGCTGCCAGCTTGAGAACACAGCCGGGCTGACACACTGATTGCGCCTTGTATTTACTCCAGGAGCAGAAAACTCCTCAGTACAATGCCTGCATCTCCGACCACAGAAGTGCGAGCTAATGAATGGGTATCGCTAATTAAGTCAGGGGAATTGTAATACCACAAAACAGAACCCAGGACAGCCAGGGTTGTGACCTTCTGGATCACTTCCTCCTTAACACACGCTTGACCCCTTTACCCTCTTCTTCATTCTCCTTTCTCCTGACCCTCCTTTCTGTGCTTTCTCTTGGGAGCCCCTTGCCCGCAAGGTCAGCCTCTGTACCCCAAATGCTGGGATCCCAGCTCAGCTTAACAATTTTGGGATTTCACAGGCCCCAGTAATTTGACGTAATTGCAGGTCCTCATCCGGGATCTCTCCCACGATGTCTCGATACCCTGTCTGGGCTGTTGCTTTGTACCCCAGACTCCCCTGGTCACATGCTGGGTTAGTCCTCACCTCCCTCCCCTGGCTGCTGCCAATGCTTCATTACCTTTTCACGTCCTATCTCCAAATTTTGTGAACGCCGTTTCGCCACTGCCTGGATCTGACCTCCATAGAGCTGAACGTGTCGAGGCCCGCAAATACTTCCAGGCAAAATGTGAAAATGTTTGTTTCCCTTCGATCGGAAGGGGAGAAAACAAGCTTTGAAGTTGAAGAACGTGCTTTAATACATCATATTAAGGTATTCGTCTGCCTTGACGCCCGTGCAGTTGTAAAATGTGGTTTTAAATATTGGCGTGTGGAGGAAGAGAGGCCCATGGAAGCAGAAGGGCCCGCGAAAGTCACAACACGGTCCTGGCGTCACCTTATTTCTAGAGAAGCAGGTGTTTGCACATCGCCCTATAAGCAGGGAGGATGCTTTTTGAGGTGGTCCCGGTGGATAGGTATCTTCCGGCTTTGGTGACTGGGAAGGGTTGCACATCACCAGTGATTTGGGGCCACTGCCGTGGCCTCCTCTGCCGTGGCAGGGGGTCGTTTGAGCTCGGAAGTCCCTCCCTTGCCTTCAGCTACTTGCCCCGTGCTCTGGGACTTCCCTCGAGACGAGCAGACGAGCCCAGTTTCTGGAGCGCGGGTGAGGGATTCTCTCGCACCCTGGATCCAGCAGGATCCTCTGGCGGGTCCGTGCAACCCCCGCGTGGCACCCCACACCCGTCCCCGAGGTCATCCGTGCTTCCAGAGAGTCAAAGAGGGAGGGAGGTTAGCCAGGCACCCGGACAGTCCGCCTTCCAAGGGACCTACCGCAGTGCTGTAGCGATTACATGAGGCTTCGGCTCACCCAGTGCCGCATCTGGGAAAGCTCCCGGCAGGAAACTGTTAGCAAGATGTGATCCTCTCTAGGTTACGATGAGATCCAGGAGAGAAGCAGGATTCTCTGAACCCTTTGCTGTCGGGATTCAAGCAGGGCAGCGTTTTTACTTATTTATTTATTTTTATATTTCATTTATTTATTTAGAGACAGTAGGGGGGGGCGGAGAGAGCGAGGGGGAGACAGAAAGAATGCCAAGCAGGTCCCACGCTGTTCAGCGCAGAGCCCGACGCGGGGCTTGAACTCACAAACCGCAAGATCGTGACCTGAGCCGAAGTCGAGAGAGGGACACTTAACCGACAGAGCCACCCCGGTGACCCTGGGGGCAGTGCTGCTCTGATGTAGGAGTCAGACCGGCTCCAGCCAGGCTTTCGTCCTGTGGCGGATGATGGGCTGCGTGTTCATCAGGACGGGCCGTGGTCTCCTGTGCAGCTTTGTTGGGGCGTCTGAGGTTGGCGTGTGTGAGATAGGACACAGACGCACACAGAGGGACGACTGTGTGAACACGCAGGGAGAAGACGGCCATCGACGAGCCAAACGGAGAGGCCTCGGGAGAAACCAGCCCTGCCCGCTCCTTGACCTCAGACTTGCAGCGTGCAGGACTGTGAGGAAATACACTTCTGTTTAAGCCGCCAGGTCTGGGTTAGCGGACGAACCCGCCAACCCCTCACACCTCTCACTAGCCTTGTAAAGAGTGGCATCAGAAGAAGCGGGTATGCTTTGACCAGAGGAGATAAGACGGTCGCCACCCATGTTATGACGAAGCCAAGATCCCATTGACTTGGCCGGTCATGGCATCCAGTGACCGTCTCCAAAGGCGTTAGTGTTCGTTTTCTCAAACTATCCTTGCCAAGTCACGTTGCTTGCATCCTTTGCTGGAATGCTGTTGTTTTTTGAACTTGGTTGTGGGATTTTACATTTAGTCCTGCTGTGGCCGCCCCCATCCCTCGGGGGGAGGGGCCTTTGGAAACCACGTGGGGTGTCACGGTGGGCCTGAGGGGTTCCAGTGACACATTTCCGATTTCCTGGTGAGAAAGCTGGATTTGGGTGGAGGACTTACTTTTGGATGACACTTGGGACAAAGCTAACTGTCCCTACGGTGGATTTCAGGGCACACGGTGCCCAGTGTGGGTATGATGGGATTTCAGGCAGGATATCTGGGAGAGGCAGGTCTGAATCCGAGCCTCAGGTGGAGAAGTCCACGGTAGTGGGGATTTGCTGACGGAGAGAAGACAGGTTCTGAGAAGACGTCCTAGCTCTGCCAGAAACACATGTGACATGTGACAGAGATGGAGATTGGCTTCTCTGTCCCTGTATTTTCCTGTCTATCAAAAGAGACTCCTTCTGGGCGTTGAGGTGGAAAAGGCATAGAGGCCCCCAAACGAAATGTCAGCGTTGTGCCAAGTTATCGACGAAGACGTTCTGTATCATCAAGGTGTCAGTCACCTGCCAGGCTGCAATAAAGTAGGGTCCTCCCTGAGGACCTAGGATCTAGGGTGAGCTTTTGGGACAGGATTAGCCCTCGGAAAATGAGCTGCTTTTAAAATTAGACTTACCCGGGGGCACCCGAGTGGCTCAGTCGGTTAAGCATCCGACTTCGGCCCAGGTCATGATCTCATGGTTCGTGAGTTCGAGCCCCGCATCAGGCTCTGTGCTGACAGCTCGGAGCCTGGAGCCTGCTTCGGATTCTGTGTCTCCCTGTCTTTCTCTGCACCTCCCCAGCTCAGGCTCACACTGTCTCTGTCAAAAATAAATAAACTTAAAAAAATTTTTTTTTTAGTTAGACTTACCCGGGGCACCTGGGTGGCTCAGTCGGTTAGGCCTCCGACTCCTGGTTTCAGCTCAGGTCATGATCTCGTGGTTTGTGAGTTCAAACCCCGCGTCGGGCTCTGTGCTGGCAGCATGGAGCCTGCTTGGGATTCTCTCTCTCCCCCTCCCTCTCTGCCCCTCTCCTGCTCTCTCTGTCTCACTCCCTCTCAGAATAAATAAATAAGCTTTAAGATAAATAAAATTTGACTATATTCACTTTTTCTTTTAATTTTTTTTTTTATTCTTTATTTTTGAGAGAGAGAGAGACAGTGAGACAGAGTGTGAGTGGGGGAGGAACAGAGAGAGAGGGAGGCACAGAATTCGAAGCGAGATCCAGGCTCTGAGCTGTCAGCACAGAACCTGACACGGGGCTTGAACTCACGAACCGCAAGATCATGACGTGAGCCGCAGTCGGACGCTTAACTGACTGAGGCCCCCAGGCGCCCCTATATTCACTTGTTCTTCATCTGCCTCTGGAACATCAGACACTGTATTTTGCAAGTGGTTCTCTGGCCAAAGACAGGTATTGTGGACGCGCCCAGGTCCTCCCTGGGGCCATGTTGGTTTTGCAGTGCAGAGTATCATCGGCTGTCCTCATGGGCGAGCCTGCGCTCCGCAGTTCGGTGCACTATTCGCTTGTGAAATGCTGCCAGTAAAGGCACCTAGAACATTCCCCAAGACGATCTTTTCTCCCTTACGGAAAGAAGTAGCTAATACCCATGTGATAGATTCTTCATGACTCGGTCAATCATTGGGAGAACCATACTTTTTCTTCCATCTATTCCCATTCCCTGCGATGACCCCCTTGGGGATGTCCATGGAAGATGTTCATGGCACAAAGAGTTGAAGAATTGCTTGCTAATTCCGGCCCATCCTCTTTGCTGGTCCTGGCAGCTCAGGTGAGTTTTTAATCCCCGATCCTGTATCCTCCTCTGCCATGGGAGGTGAACACTACGTCTTCTGCCTGCGCCGTGGCTTCTGGAAGGAATAAGGAATAATTGCAGATGCACTTTGCGAATTAGAAAGCCGTATTCAAATGGAAAGGTCACAGATAAGTTTATCCCTTACAGGGGAGGTGGCCTTTACCTTGTATTTACTGTAAACTCAAGTCCCTCCCGTGCTTCCGGACTGGGGGATGTTTGCATTGAGCTCAGCTCCCAAATCCATCACGTGTGAGGTTTGTCCCTTTTCTTCTCCTCCCTTGACATTTGCAAACCGAAAAGTCTGGGCTGAGCCACCAGCTAGCTGCCTAGATTACAGGGTGGCCTTGGGAGTGACTTGGGGCCTCTGCAGGCTGAGGAGGTGATGATGGTGTCATAGGGACCGTGGAACCAGTGGCTCAAGGAAGAGGTGGCCTTCCCACTCATTTCTGGCCCGGCGACGGCCACCTGTGCCTCCCCGAAGCTTTGGGTCCCAGGCCTGACCCTGCCGTGAGCTCTCTGACTCCTGTGTGTGTCTGTTCAAGATTTATGTCCACCTGAAGGAAGGCGGGGGCCCCGATGGGCTGGATGCGCTGAAGAATAAGCCCCAGCTCCACAGCATGGTCGCCCGAAGCCTGTGCCGGAACGCGGCGGGCAAGAACTACATCATCTTCACGGGGCCCAGCATCACCAGCCTGACCCTGTTCGAGGAGCTGGAAAAGCAAGGTTTGTCGTGTGGCGGGCCCGTCCGAGAGGGGCCCCTCGCCCCCTGAGGAGTGATGGGAGAAGTCTGGGGGTACAGGTGCATAGCAACCGGCACAGCCCATGGGCTGCTGGGCCAGGAGGGAACACGCTGGTTTCAGCCTGCCGTGTGCCTGCCACAGGGCTGGACCCTGCCAGGCGCTGGTGATCAGCAGGGATACGGCCACAGGCTTGCGGTCTGGGCGGGGGTGTGTCGGCACAAAGCTCTGCCCAAGTCACGTTTGGTTGTGTCGTTTGTTGGGAGACTCTGGCCATTGAGGGGTTCTCCTAGTGTCCTAGTCCATTCGGGCTGCTCTGTCAAATTACCACAGACGGCAGCTTATAAACAGCACATATTTATTCCTTGTAGGCCTGGAGGCTGGAAATTCAAGATCAGGGCACCAGCGTGGTTGGGTGCAGCTCTCTTTCAGGTTGCCGATCTCACGTGACCGAAAGGATAAGGGAGTTCTCTGGGGTCCCTTTCCTTTTCTTCCTTTTCTTCTCTTTTCTTTTCTTTTTTTTTTCAAATGTTTATTTATTCTTGAGAGAGAGGGAGACAGAGCGTGAGTGGGGGGGTGAGGGGGCAGAGAGAGAGAGGGAGACACAGGCTCCGAAGCAGGCTCCAGGGTCTAAGCTGTCAGCACAGAGCCTGACGCAGAGTTTGAACTCACGAACCGTGAGATCATGACCTGAGCCGAAGTTGGATGCTTAACTGACTGAGTCACCCAGGCGCCCCTGGGGTCCCTTTTCTTAAGGGCACTGCTCCCATTCATGAGGGCTGCACCCTCATGACTCAGGCACCTCCCAGAAGCCCCACCTCTTAACACCATCACCTTGGGCATTAGGCTTTCAGCAGAGGAATTTGGGGGGAACGCACACATTTGATCTGTAGCACCTAGTCCCAGCTCCTACAAAGGCTGTTAAGTCTGGACTCATCCCCATGTATAATGTGGCCCCTCCAGTTGGCGCAGATGTCACAGAGAATTATGTAGAATTAACACAGCAGGACAGTAGGCCTCAGAAAATTCTTAGTGCGCTATGGTGCTGGGATGCTTCGTTCATCTGTTCAAAGGTTAGGAAGCCTTCTGTGGCTCCGGCAGAAATGGGGGCTGCAGAAAGAGGTCTGGACCAAGTCAGGGAGCCTGACAGCAAGCTGTATATCCTTTGCTTTGTCCTACATTTGGGGGATTTATATCTCATCCACTCAAGAGAAACATAAAAAGCCTCTCCTCTGCTATGGCAGCCACTGAAATCGCAGACCGATTGCTTAGCAACAGATCAGACATCCGGTCTTAAAACAAAACCCTCTCAAGTAATGGAGAGCCAACAGCTTCTGACCTTGACCTCAGCCACTGCGGCAAGGAAGCAGCCCTAGACTGGGTGCTCTGCTGGCCCTGGCTGCGTCTGACTCATCTGCAAAGTCCAGTGCCCAACAGGGCTCCATGCTTAATGGCTGGGAGAAGTCAGGGTGGAGAGATCCGACCACGCGAAGAGGGGCCGTGGAAGTAAGATTGGAGAAAATGGACCCTGGTGCGCGCTAACCAAACCCCTCGGAAGAACCAGGGGTTCCTGTGTTAGAGCAGGTGGCGAGAGCCGAGGCTGCCATCCCCACTCGCCCACTCGTTCAAGTCCGACTGTGGGTGCAGGGCCGTGAGCCCTGGGGTTCCTAGAACCGCCCAGATAGCATTTGCGTGCTGTTGGGGCCACCCGGCATCACACGGTATATGCTCCCGTCACCTAGACCAAGAGTCAGGTGGTGCAGTCAGGTGGCATGTTGTCCCGGTGGGGCTGGTGTGCAGAGTGCGGGTGCCCAAGGACTGTCACGGGCCATCAGTGCTGCTGCCCTGACAGCTGGCCATGCTGGCCTGTGATTCTGGGAAGAAAAGGACGCTCCCCAGCTCAGGGAATTAGGGAAAGGACGGAAGAGAATCTTCTACTGGGAAGAAAATAATTACACATGGGATTTAGCTTTTCCCGAGAACGAGCAAAGATTTCATTGCCTGTTTTTTGGAAGCTTCTGGAGCTCCTGTGCACTTCTTGCGTGGCTCCACTGTGATGATGAGACGCTGGGCTGGTGGTTCTCCATTGTCCCCACACTGGTGGCTGCGTGCCCTCCCCTCCCCCAGGCTGCCCTGGGCTGGGCTGGTGCCCTCCAGGACATTCTCACGGGCAGCCAGGATTGAAGAAGGGCATCGTAGCTGTGAGTCTGGCCGTCCCTCCGCGGACAGAGTCTGCTTTGTAAAACAGCCGGAAGAAGACACTGATATAATAAACGCTATTTTCATAAAGGGGCAGATTCAGGAGACTTGGATGCTGTTTGGGTTTTCTCCTCCCCCTCTTACAAAATTGCACCTGCTGTTTTTGGCTGATTGTGTGCACGGAGCCTCGGATGGAGAATTTATTTTTTTTTTTAATTTTTTTTTTCAACGTTTATTTATTTTTTTGGGACAGAGAGAGACAGAGCATGAACGGGGAAGGGGCAGAGAGAGAGGGAGACACAGAATCGGAAACAGGCTCCAGGCTCTGAGCCATCAGCCCAGAGCCTGACGCGGGGCTCGAACTCACGGACCGCGAGATCGTGACCTGGCTGAAGTCGGACGCTTAACCGACTGCGCCACCCAGGCGCCCCTCGGATGGAGAATTTAAAACATCCTTTCTCCTTGTTCATCTAAGGCTCCTCACTGTTTTAAAAACAGTTCCTTCTTCTTAAATATTAAGACGAGGGGTAGCTGGAGTTGGAGCTACAGAGGTGCGAGCGGCCAGCAGCCCTCTGCTTCTGAGCAGTAAGGCTCCATCATGCCACCCAGTGGCTCTTCCAGTGCACCCACTGGTGCTCATTAGGCAGTGGGACCCGGGTAGTTCCTCCCGTTCCCCTCTGCCCCCCGCGCCCAGGGCGGGCCGGAGATGCGCGCACACAAGGTCATAGAATGTTTCGAGTTACTGATGATACTGCATCCGCCTTCAGGGAACTTCAGTCTGTGACGGGAGACCCCGGATGAGACTTTCCCCAGCGACTTCCGTCAAAAGTGCCTCTTCACGTCCCCTCCAGGCATCCAGACTGAGGATGCTGGCTGCAGGGAGAAGCCGTGGCTCTCCGTGGCCACCTGGCCCGCTCACTGGGGCAGGCCAGAGGGTGGGGAGGGCCAGGAAGGGCCTTGAGCCCAGGACAGAATTTAGCAAAGCCTCCTTGTCCACGTTGACCTCCGTTCACAATCCCTCCTGCCTCCGTGGGACCGTCTGTGCATTAGTGGCCACCCAGTAGCCGCTCCTCCCTCTAGAGTGCAGAAGTTTCTAGAAGCAGATGAGCAGATGGGAGGACAGGTGCACATGCTCAGCCCTGAGCCTGGCACATAGCCAGCGCTCTGAAGAGACTCGCTGATTCACTGCGATGGTCTCATGTAAAATCTTAAATGCTTATTTTTTTATTTTTTGAGGGAGGGGGAGGCATAGAGAGAGGACGGGACAGAGGATCTGAAGCAGGCTCCAGGCTCTGAGCTGTCAGCACGGAGCCCAGTGCAGGGCTCGAACTCATGAACCGCGAGATCATGACCTGAGCCAAAGTCAGACGCTTAACCAATGGAGCCACCCAGGCACCC